GTACATCTGTCTCTTGTTTTCTCATGTATTTACTTGTTAATTTATGTATTCCTTCTACAGGACTTATCTAATAAGATTTAGACAGATTCTTTTATATATAAAAAAAGCTAAACAACAAACAGCTCAATCAATTCTGACATATCTTATGGCCTGTAATAGGTAACGGATGAACATCTTTCTCCTATAATTTTACGAAGCATACGTACTTAATGAAAATGTTATGTTGTTTTTAGTGAAAACAGACATGCGTTTCATATGTTGTCATTCGAAGCTGAGTAAGAGGTTTCAAAGTCCAGGTGTGCTTCATTCACAAAGTTGACTTTTGCCAAAACCAATATTTCAACATTTCATTTTTTTTTATTTTTTTTTATGTTAAAAAAAAAAGAGAACTGAATTTAAATAAGATGTATCTATTGCTTGTCAATACTTCCAGCAGACTGTTTTTTCAAACAGCTTGATTTAAATAATGATTTATTGCATGTATATTTTCAATCCTCTCAAGCAATGAAAAGTTATAGTAAACTCAGCGTTCCATTTATATTCTATAAATATGTGAAGGTTAAAAGCTATAGTGACTATCCGTAACAAATTACTGCCAACAGGAGTTTATTCTACACATTTGATTTAAAACAATGCATAGACAGATCTTATATAAAGGACCAATTTAAAAGCGATATTAATTTATATATATGTATAAATGTCTGCCTACCAACATATTTATTTTTAAAACTATATGTAATGCTTTGCTGGAGGCAGATGACCAATTTTACTTGCACAACGGCCTGCAGTAACCTGCACTGTCCTTGTAGGTGGCAGTACTATAATAGCACTTTAATTGTGGCTTGTGTCCCTGATATCCAATTACAGGTTAAAGGGCAAGTACTTTCTGACAGTATAAATCATACTTAAAAAATAGGAAAAGTACTAGCGCCAATTGAGTGATGAATATTTCATAAAATAAAATAAAATATATATATTTTAAATGAGCTGCTATAACACCGTGGTATTATCTTTTGGCATGGATAGTTGAAAAGGAAAAATGTCTTGGTGAAGCGCTTATTAAAATAATAGATATGAAAGATATAAAAATAGTGAGAAATGTGATAACGTAGTAGCCCAATGTCCTTTAAAATAATATTCTCTTTCCCAGAGGCACAAATATTTAATTATGTCCCTTTAAATATAAAGCATACAAATACAAATCATAGTGCAAACTGTACAGTATAAATAAGGTGGAAGATATAATGCTAAGTGCCAACTCACAATTTTATGAGCTAATTAACTTAGCTCAAGTTCTTGCACCTTAGGGTCCGTTCAGGCGACCCTCTCCCTCCTTTACGTCCAGACTTTCTTATAGGTTTGTCCTAGGTGGTAGGTGTAAAGGAAAGGTATATAGTGCAATATTGTTTGAAGCAAAAGAGTGGGTAATATAAATGTACTAATATGTACTCACAAATCCAGAGCCATCCAATAGGCTCACTTTAAATCGTGTATGTGGTTAAGGACCACATTCCTTCTTTGTAAGAGCAGGAAGGAGTAGTGCCGATAGTGTATTAAAAGTATGTACTTTATTACTTATAAAAAATGATTTAATAGCAATATAATACTTTAAAAAAATATAACACTATTCGGGTAAAGTCCAGAAAATAGAGTTTAAGTGCTCACTGTTCCTCCAGGACGCGTTTCGCCAATAGGCTTCCTCAGCTGGAAAAAAAGTTCTGTGTAAACTCTTGGGACCACTTCTTTCTTTAAATAGCCCTTTTGATTGAAGAATCCAGGTGTGTAGGCTTTAATGTTCGCGGGTAATCTCCATAGAAACGGAGATACCCTGCGTTTCAAGCCTCCTATTGATCAGTTTACTTCCGCGTTTAGTGTCGATACGTCACTTCTGGTTTCTGCATATCTGGGTTTTATGCGTCCCACAGTGCGTTTCAGCGGCCATTAAGTCCATTCTTTTGCCGAAAACTGCATATTTCCCATAGTATATGATACAGAAAAGATACATAATGTCAGTATTGTTCCCACAATGTTAGAATGGTTGATTTATACACAAGACATTTCGTCTCAGACAGAATAAAAAACATTTTCAAGTCTTCTATATGTTTCTCTACATTTTTGGATTTATCAATATTAGGGAACATTTTTTATTGTTGGTATTGTTTATAGGAACTATTCTGGATCTATTTGTGTTCTTTATACTTAGACTATTCATTGTCACTCTGAATTTCAAACATATATTTCTTAAAGGAATATTATATTTTCAAAATTAAATGTTAAAACAGACATAAAGAAAGACCTTTAGACTAAATGAATAAAAGGATAAATACACTTATTTAACTATTATACAAGTTAAAAGGAAGAAATAGTTATTAGGTGGTGAATTTATAAAAAGATAAAATATGAAGTAATGATAGGGAGGGTAATTAATAAAAAGTTATATTAAAAGAAGCTCATATGGATTTATAGATAAGAAATAAATATATAAAACCAGGTATTGTTTATAAGAGTATATAAATAGGGGAATTATGTTAGGAAATGACACATTTCAAAGTCTGATGTAACCCTTTTCTATAACGTCTTGTTTAATTTTTTGGGACTGTATATCAAAATGTTTCTAGGTCTGTACAATTTCTTCTAATTCTTAAGAATTGTCCCCTTGGAGCATATCCATAAAAGTTTTGAGAAGCATAGCATCTCTTTACATTTTAATATGAAATTAAATAAAATTGAAATGGAATGGAATGGATATTTAAATTAAATACACTTATCCCTAACGGACTAAATTCAGACTTTTCTTGTCCACTATCATATGAAGCAGCTGGTACCGTGTTCTGTACTTGAGTTCACTAGTAACATAATTCTTGGCAGCCAGGGGAGCAAGCTTATCTTGTTTAGGGGATTTTGCATGACAATGATCCTCCTTAGCTTCTCAGGGATATCATCATTTTATAAATTAGCATTCGCCAGGTTTATGCTTAGCTATAAATGAAACCTTGAAATTATAGTCCCACCCGTGTAAACAGTTCCTTAACCCTTTACAATGTGTTTCTCAAAACAAGTCTACATAGAGCACTAATAGTCCAAGCTTTGTTGATAATCTCTAAATTTACGAGGACAGAATTTGTATATGATTGCCTGTGCTTTTTAAGGAAAAAAAATAAGAAGAAAACAACGGGTTTTCCAGGAGCACATCAAAAACATGCTTTTCTTAATAATAGTATACCTTCATTTCTGGTTTCTCGACCTGTGACACCAAAGCATGCAGGGATACAGAATTTCTATTCCTCGACGCCCGGGACATGCAGTTCTAAGCACCAGGCAGTTTATAATGGTGTTTAACTCTGCTGTGGAAAACCAAATCTAGATGGAGGACAGTGCTTTGGGCAGGAACTGTGAGTTCTGTACCTCCAGGGCTTGCAGACAGAATCTGCCCAATGCTCCCAAGCCAAAAACTGTTTAAAAACATAAAATAAATGAAAAACAAAGGTAAATATAGTGATATGTCTCATTAAACAATACTTTGAATTGTTAATATGATAATACCTTATGGCAGGGCTTGACTAATCCCAGACGCCTGTGATTTGTGAGCCTGTTCAGCCCCCGTGGTGACTGACTGTCTGATAGGGCTGGGCAGTCGGCTCCCGTAGAGGTGAGTTAGGCGGGCAGCTCATAGAGAGCTGAGGGGGTTGGGGGAAAGTGGGCAGGCGGTAATTCTCATCTCATGGAGAGCTAAAGGAGGGAGGGTGGCAGGTGGGCGGCCAGTAATTGAGAGCTGAGGGAGGCGGTCGGGTAATGGAGAGCTGAGGGAAGGAGGTGGGCAGCTGACTTACTGCGGCGGTGTGGGAGGGAGCTTTAATCTCCCTGCTCTGCCCCCTCGGGCACCTTGCAGTAATGCCGGGAGCTGGAGTAAACAGTGCGCGAGAGGGAGCTGAGTAGGAAGATGACAGCAGCCCTACTGGGCCCCAGGGAAAGCTGATCCACCCCAGCTCTCCCAATGGTAGGGAGGCTGGGTGGATAGAAAAAAAAAAGTAATGATTTGTGAGTGCGTGAGTGAGTGTGGGTCTGTCTGTCTGTGAGTGAGTGTGTGCCTGTCTGCCTGTGAAAGAATGTGTGTCTGTCTGTCTGTGAGTGTGTCTGTCAGTGAGTGTGTGTTTGTGTCTCTCAGTGAGTGTGTGTATGTATGTTTAAGTGACCTGTTCCCCTCCAGTTACATGGGAAAGGTGTTTTTACTCATCTTTTTTCCCACGCTGTGCTGGTGATGCCGCAGCTGGCCCCACCTCTATGGCCCCATTCTTGACGATCTTAGCCAATCCAATGCTCCCCAATAGGAAAGCATTGGGAGACTATTGTGCATAAACGGCAAAATGCCATTGCACCAATCAGCTTCTCTTCACAGAGATGCATTGAATCAATGCATCCCTCTAAGGAACATTAATGTATGTGCTGCACAGTGTGAAGCACTGACCCAGGAAGCACCTCTGGAGGCTATCTGAGTGACTTTCACTAGCGGTGTCACCAGGCATCAATGTAAAAACTGCCATTTGCCTGAAAAGACAGTGTTTACCTTAAAAAGCGTTCAGGGACAGGATATGGACTTCAGAACAATTACATTAAGCTGTAGTGGTTCGGGTGATTTTTTTTAATGGCAATACTGTGTCAAAGGAACACTCTAAGCACCAGAACCACTACTGCCTACCTTTGTGGTTATGGTACCAGGAGTGCATCAGTGCTGTCCCATTGTAAGTATTCAAAATGTTGTATTGTTAAATATTGAAACGCACTGCAGAATAGCTTGAAGCTACCTAAATGCCAATAATAATAATCATAATTGTTTAAAAAAAAAAAACAAACACAAGTATAATGCACACACTAAAAAAGGGAGAATACATGCTGCAGGGTGCTCAAGAAAGGAAGGGCCAATCCCTAAGGACATCAAATGCAAGAAAATTAATATATCCAGGCACACCTGAGGTTTCTTCTAAAATTCAGTCTTTTTATTTGAAACAAGAAAGTGGAGACAACGTTTCAGCTCCTCTCTGATAAAGACTTGATAAAGGCTCAGAGAGGAGCCAAAACGTTGTCTCCACTTTCGTGTTTCAAATAAAAAAACTGCCTTTTAGAAGAAACCTCAGGTGTGCCTGGATATTTACTTTCTTCCTATCATAATATTAATAATAATAATAATAACTTTAGTAAAGATTCAACCTCTAGACTAGAGCCTAAACTGTAAACTCGTTTGAGAAGGGTCCTCATCTACATAATGTTCCTGTATCAATTTGTAAATTTCTCATCATTTGTAAAATGTCCCCCCTTTCATAATATTGTAAAGTACTGCGGAGTAAATTGGCATTATATAAATACCAACAATTATAATAATTTAACTCCTAAAACAGCTTCATTAAGCTAAGGTTGTTGCTTAGTGTGCCCCTTTAATGTAGCACAGGATATACATTATTGTAATGTTTATATCCTGAAGTGGCATTACCATGCAGACTATAGGAATGCATATTAAAATGCAGCTTTATTACCATGATGCTTGCTTTGTTCGGAGTGCAGAGAGTTTTTTTGTGCTTTTGACACATCATTCTTGATACTACATCTTGTGTGAACGTAGACACAGAGTCTTCCCTTCCCCTGACCCCTGTACTGTAATTCAAAGAGAAACAAAAAAAAGCAGTAATGGACCAGAACTAATGTTGCAGCGTGTAGTCATTTTTGTTTTTCTGCACTGCAGGTTTTACAGCTGTAGTTCTCTGCACACATATATATGGAATGGGAGAAACTCTCTGAAAATTGTTTTTTTAATTGGTAAATGTAGCAGCTGCTACTTGAAGCCTCTGGCAAGTGTGTACCTTCCCGAACAGGGAATCTGTTCCAGGTTATAGTGTGCACAGATGAACATTACGCACAAATTCAGGCCAATGCATAGACCTGCATTCAGAGAATAGAAATTCTTTTGTTCAGAAGCTAGCAGTGCATTGATTGTGAGGTCATTCCACTCTCCTCCCCTGTGTGTCTGTACTCTCGGAGTATGAATATAGAATCCGATCTGACAGTATTCTGTTTTAACGCTGTGAACAAGACTAAGAATCATCTTACTTATGGGCCTATTGAGACCACACTTGGCAGATCCCATTTATTGTTATATGAAGAGTAAAAAAAAAGAACAGATGTGCTCACAAAACAAATGTAGTCTCAAACATAGGCCTCTCCAACCCCCTGTTAAGGTTTCTGTTGGTTCCCCAGTGCCATAAAAAGCTGGAGTCGGGTTAAAGAATATAAAGCAATACTACATTTCCATGTGTAACGGCAGTTAAATAGCAGTTATTCCGTTTTACTGCTTGGCATATGCTTGTTAATGTCTCTGATTAGTTTCTATATTGTTTTTAGAGAGTCCTGATAGATCTATCTGTAGAAACAGAAAAATTAACAGCTCGCTAAAGAACCAAACACTACATGTGTGTAATCTGTGGAGTGCTTGTGTGCACATACGTCCTTTGTACCTTCATCTGTAATAGAACTAAGTGATTATTCTTTACTTCTACTGTATCGTGTCCTTCTGCTAGCTAACACCTCCAACCTCTGTACGTGTTACTCAATTTACTCAGTGTCTTGTGGCAGCATTAAGGCATGTCAACAAGGCAATGTCTTCACTAATGAAACATAAAAATCGGCTTTTTCTGTAATAGTTGATACCCATCTGTTAGACTTAGGGATCAGGCAACAGGTAATTCATTCTGGCACAAGTATAAATCTTGATTCTTCAGCACCACTTGGAGGTTTGATATCTAGCCAACCGCTTTGAGTAGTGACCTGAATATGGTCTCCATTCCAAACTCATAGGGACAGCCATGCTCTGCAAATATCTTCTCTGCCCAAATTTCTCCAGGCACTGCCTGTAATAAGGTAGATACATCACAATGTAAATGAGAACATAAGAGGCCAAAATGACTCACAGGAAACATGTAAGAGAACAATATAACATAGGAATCAGGAATCAGACCTTCAGTACTCTCTAACGTATGGGTTCTTTGAACCCCAGCAAACAACACAACACAACACAAAACACCATAGGTGTGAATGCGTACAAAATGCAAGAGCAGCAATCACGTAGGAAATTGTGGGCAACAGTGAAAAATTAAACTACACGTTTCTCCAGCTACATCCAGTCATCATCATGTGTTCTTGTGGTGCCAAAATGTGGCACTACATATGTTCAAAGAATTGAAAGAATTGTCAATGTCACATTCAACAAAACCATAACAAATCCATTAAAGAATCTTGCTAACAGTAGAAAAATGTCTTTTCACACATACACACAGAAAAGCAGAGAAAAATAAGCATTATCTATCTATCTATATAAATATGAATGCATAAATATTATTCTTATTTTTGCTTTTTTTAATATGGAGTATAGATTAAAACAAATGTTATATATAAATATTTCTCTTGCTCAGTTAGGTAATAACACATTTTCTAGTCCGGAATATGAAATCTCTCCATTTAATAAGAAGAACTGATTAAAGCACTGGCCTGTGAAATTAAAACCTCAGGTCCACAGCTACTGCCAACTAATTGTGACCTTGAGTGAAACCGGTCATTGTGGCTTTAAAGCTCTTGGTAAATTCACTCTTTAAAATAAACATAGGTCGTGAGCAATGTTATTAATAAAGCCATGACTCTGGTTAACCATTGTATATATTAAATTTACATTTGTTATATAGTACTCTTAGCCTTATTTTGTCACTCAAGTTTGGTCTAACTTGTAGCATTTTCTATTCACCTTCAGGTGGTTCATTGACAGTAATATAATTGTATTTCAATATCAAGTTTAATCATGTGAAGCTTGAGTAATTATCGTTCAATCATAGGGTTAACTGTAGTGGCTCATACAGATACCTTTTTAATACATATATTTCACATCTAATTATAAGCCTACAGGCAGTGACTTATTTCCATTCAATTTTTTTTCCTTGAATTACTTTTATATGGATGTGGTGATTTGTGGAATCATTGAATACAATTATTTTTAATCCTTATTCTAATGTCTGCATGTAATTTGACATATGGTGTAATAATTAGACAACTGAATTTCCATTATATAGAAAGACAAAATAATAATATGCCTATAAGGTATCCCTTCCTTCCTTGTGTCCCCCATCCCCGCCAATAAAGGGTAAAAAACCCTTTATTCACTTACCTGATTCCTCAGCACTGGATCGGTGCTCTGATGTCATCTGATGGGGGAGAGGTGACGCAAAGTCCGATGAGATCCCGGAATCTCTTCTAGTGGCTGTCTTAGAGCTGCGGAATAAACATTGCCGTTTCTCTAAAACTGCAATGTTTTACATTGCAGGACTAAGAGTCATAGGGACTATAGTGTGTATGTAGGGTGCCTCTAATATCCCTTTAAGGGGATCTGATAGCAATTCGGCTCCTATTCACAAATTTAAGTTGGAATTTTACTGATTTTAAAGTGAACCTGTTGGTATTAACAGCCAAATAAGTTGACAAAAGTGGCAACCAGTCAGATGCTGGTGGCAAGTTGCTGGTTGTGTCAGAGCAATGTGCGTAGAAAGTCTGGTCAGTGGAACAGTGTAGTGAAAATGCTAGCACATAAAATCCTGCTTTGTTTAAAATTGCTACAAACTTTCATTCATTGAACTTTCCCAAATGTCATTATTTTCTGCCATAGTAATGGTATGTAGCATGGGAATTTCATAAGTGAGGCAAATTTAGCAACACTTTTACTTTGAATTTCTCATGAATTATTTATTATGCAATTACAGGGAGAAGTGAGTGGTAGATGGAATGCATGCGGTTTCGGGCCCTGTGCCCAAACATCTGCACAAATTTGATATATTATTACAAAGCTGATTAGCTAAGTACAATGTCGTAGGACCCATCCAGCTATCAAATGTCTCACAGTTGGAAATCCTCAATCCGAAATGATCTCCTTTGTTCACATAATGAGCTATTCCTCAAAACCAAGCTATTCCACTGATACCCATATACTTCTAACCAGGGGCGTAACTAGAGTATTTGGCACCTGAGGAAGGTCCTATTTTTGGCACTCCCCCACTCCCCTCCCGCCACCCTCCCCCAACTTTAAAATGTAAAAAACAACCGCAATTTTTGTTATTTTATTTTTTTTATTTAGCACTAAGCAGTGTTTCTGTGTTTGTGAGTCAGAGCATGCTTTTTTTTATGGAGTATGTGTTAGTGAATGTAGGGGGTGTTTGTATGTGGTGTTGGCGTTTGAATACAGGCATGAATTTTTATATAGTGTGGTTTTTCAATGCAGTATAGTATAGTTATGTGTGTGTAGTGTTAGCGAGATTCTGAGATATATGCACATATACACACATATATACATACTGACACACATGCAGATACATAGACACACAGTCACACACAGATACAGACACACATGCAGATACAGTGGCGACTCTGGGAACAATATGTGGGGGGGCACTACAAAACTGGGGGGAAGGGCGGGGAGATGCACTAAAACCTTTCATAAGGGGATGGGGTAATGTGCTGCCATTGGCTGCCTGATGCCAGCATGCAATGCACGTTGGCATCAGTCAACAAATGTGCATATTATTCACATTAGTCACCCAGATTTCTTGTTGTCAGCTGGCTGACACCTCTCAACTTTGATCTTTGTTTATCAGATAACTCCTCTATTGGCTATCCTTAGCTATCATATAAACAGCACCCTCATTTGGTATCTTTAAATATGGAAAGCTCACTTAAGGGCACCCATTTTGGGAATTATCTACTAAACAGCTAAAAGATCAAAATTAAAAATCCCTTTTCTTAATTTCAGTTGTTTAGTAGATAACTCCCTTATTTGTTATCTTTATGTGGGATTGCCGTATTTAAGGACACCAAATAAGGGAGCTATCTACCAAACACATACACATTTATATGCACACACAATAGGTGTATGTCTGTGTGTGTATATCTGTGGTTGTGTGTGTAGATATATACACACAATCACACACATAAACACAGACATACACAAACTCAGTCACAGACTTACACACATACAATCACAGACACACAACCACATACACACAATGCTACGGAATTT